GAGTGAACGGAATATAAATACTTTGTGCGAGAAAATACATCTCTAAAGAAAGAGCAGAGTGATCGATTACTATTATTGATTTTCTAATAAGAAACACGATAATGTCATTACCAGGTGATTTCATATCGTCAACATATATTTAATGCATTAATTATTGCTTCGTAATGTGCTATGTACAGCCAAGTGCGGTCCAATGAAAGCACATGCAATTTACGTTCGGTTCATCTCTGGCCATTCTTCGCGTCTCTCACTGACACGTATTGTACCAACCACAATATTACATGCCAGATAAGTAGTTGACAACAGTAAAACATTTGAATCGGAACAAAATATTGTCAAATGCGGAATAAGGCATAGCGTATACCGCCATTACTGGAAAAAATATTTTTACTACATCCAATCATAATTAGATTCGCTGTAAACGCCCAGACGCTAATAGTTCTAGTACTATTTTTTTTAATTTCGCTTTGGTCCGGCTCGAATAGCCAAATAAACAACAATTTTATTCTCATTTCAAATATTTTACATTAATTTTCCGAAAATTGCAACACTTCAAGATTTGAGTAAATTTTAGTTCAACAACTGAAAATTCCAGGTATAATTGGTCTCTATGACGTCCACAATCCAACAATGCTGTTTTTGTGAAGGCTTGTGTAATCATAGTATGTTATCGAAATATCTAGAACGGTAATCTATGTCCTTTATTGTAACTTTTCATAGTTGGCAACCCTAGCAGAAACCCAATTGTTTATTTCATGTTCGGTATTGAAGAGTTGCTCAATAGTAATTCTATATGTGTGGAAGAACTCGTATCTTTCTCGTAGAACTCCCCAGTATAAAGCCAAGCCCCGATTTCAAAACCTCGCTAATCACGCGCCGTTTTCTCACCTTAAAGTAATTTATGTGGAAATAAATGTTATGTAAAAATAATTGTTTTATGTTAGCCATTTAATTTTGCGTTCATAAAATGAATACAGGCCGGTTAATATTTGAGACCCGAGATTTCATCAAATTTATCTTTTAAAAATTTTTTGGTCGCTTGAAATTAAAGGTTGGAACTAAAGATATAGACGACAGGTTTGATTGTATGGGACAGCTACACAAGTCATACACCGCCGATCAAGCACAAATTTTCAAGCAATACACATCATCATGAAAGTCCTATTTCCTCACACCACACTTGGTGCTCATATAACTCATATACATAATGAATATTATACGTTTGAATATAAACAATTTTTGTTTACTTTCATGTGAGAATCTGAGTCACAGGAAATATAAAATAATCGCCAGTATTAATAGATACATAGAGAGTCTCAATAACTTTGTGAGCCGGAAACTATCATATACATATCTCGAAAATAATTGTTTCCTGGGGTCATAATACAGCTATTTAGTTACCTCTGTAATTTGAACACGAGTTTGGTTCTGTTATCACCCCGACACGAATTTCTATCTGTTTTTTATTTCTTATAGAGTTTTTTTTATGTACAACATATACACAAGGGTCAGGATCCTGGAGGACCTTTATCTGCTTTGCACACAGACCCGCACAAAACTATGTTTAATTACTGTTAAAATAGTTTCTTTATTGGATTATTATAGTGTTGACTTTGTTTTTGTGATAAATCTCATTCTCTGAAAACAGCCTTAGTTCAACATTATGCTGGAGCATTTCCAGTACGAAATAGGCTCTGTGCAAACAACCATTATACATAAAGAGTTACAAGTTGTGAAATGAACCGCATCTCCCTATAACAGCATTGCCTACAAAATTTATTACATTCCGAGGTATGGAGCTTGAACGGCGCGGCGGTGTGGCTCAACGGGCTAAGCGTTAGGAATACGCTCGCCACCGCACCTCTAATTACTCTGCGTGGGTTCGCAGGTTTGAATCCCATGCAGGGATGGTTATGTGCGAAAGGATCGCTGGACTCCTCGCTGTCGTTGGGTGGTTCACGTAACCGCTGGTCGGTTACGGCTTCCTCCACCACCAAGTCCATGCTTCCGAAAACAAAACAATACAGTGAAAATAATCCCATACCCGACTTGGAATGGTAACCGGACGAGAGGCCGTGGTTCGCCATATGGATAAGTCGTCTTATCGGCTTTCCTCTCCACCGGGATAAATATGTAAATCCTAACCTGCATCGAAAAAGTTACATCCAACATTCTAACCACAAGACCTTTCTCCACAAAAACCAATGCTTTTATGAAGCTTTTAATTGAAAATTTTATTCTTTTTCACATAAATGTATATTATAATAGGACATGGAACAGACAATAAAATATTTATAACTTCTCTGCATTGAATGCAACATTAGAAAGTCCAAGAGCGAGATCTCGAAATCTTTGAGCGTCAGGGTCTCTTACTTATTCATTGGCGATGTATGGGTCAAGCAATGGTCGTTAGAAAATATTACTTGGTAGCCCTTGACGTATCATGCCAAGCTAAAAACTCTTGATGCTGGAGAACTTTCTCAGAATCCCGGTTCACAAACACATAGCTGTGTCTGAAATCCCGTTTTAGTCTATGTGACGTTTTGTAACAGCTACTCAATACAGCCCATGCCATTCTCAAGGTTCGAAAAAGATTGACAACCATCGGGTTAGACCAATGATTCTCAACCAGTGGTCCATGGCCCACTGCTGGGCCATAGAGACATTTTCAAGTGGGCCACAAGCCTATTAAAAATTACTATGGTTATCGAAAAGTTTATTTTCATTTGTGTAATTATAGTCAAATTTTTATGGTAGTAGCAATGAATGATGCTGCTGCTTTTGCAAACAGAGTCTTGTTTTTCTTGAAGTTTTTCCCTTGCATGAGAAAGTTAGTGGGCCACAGAATTTTTATGCAACGAAAGTGGGCCGCGAAAAAAAGGAGGTTGATAACCATTGGGTTAGACCAAGGGGAGCCTAGATTGACGAGCCATGTGAGTGCGACATGAAAAGTTATATTTCATGAACAATATTTTACAACCTTATAAAAGCAAAGGTGAAAAACAAAACGTGCCAAAACTAAATTTAATCTCAACAAATTCCTTGAGCTATTTTTAGCTAAAACATCCAAATCCAACGGGCCATTTCAGGCCAGCGACCGTAGCTTGCCCATGTCCGGGCTAGACTAAATCATAATTAAAATTAATCACTCAATATTTAGAATAACTTTGTGCAAGCCTAACCGTTTCAGTGGGCGTGATTGTGTGTATGCAAGTCAAATTAGTCTTTGCGGGCTACACGTACGTCTTCTCATGGGCTACTCAGGTCAAAACTCAGAGATCTCTGGACTTAGTAATATCAAACACATTATACAAAAAAAGAGAAATGCAAATAAATCTGATAGTGCAATAAAAGAAATCGAAGTTGAAAAAATAGTAAAAACAAACGCAAAGCTTACAAAGCGTATTGTGTATTAAACTTCTGAAACTTGGGGTACAAATTTTAGGGGTCGCAAGGAGGATTATATCTATTGTACTTTTTAACCTTCTGATTTGAAACACAATTATTCAAACTAATGCAAAACATTAATTTCATGATTTCAAGTGAAAACATAGGATCAAAGAAGCAGCGCGCTTGTATAACAATGCCAACTTTGATCCTAGTATCAGAGAAGCGGCGCGCTTGCATCAAACTGTTTAGCATTTTAAACGTAAACTGGGGAAAATGCGAGCTTAAAAGTATGGGAAGTCCTGGTGTATTGAACTGCAAGTCATTTCTCCATGTCTACTTCCTACTTTGGATTCAGCGTCATATGTCAAGTTGGTGCTCCCGAAGTATGCGAACCAAGATGGCGGACATCGGAACGTAACAGGTTAGGGTTAGGCGATAATTTTTTTCCAATTTTCCTTATTTTAGTCCTATTATCAGTTCGAAGACTAGCCAAGAGCCTCCCGTAGTATTTATACCTAAAATTATGGCCTAACCCTAACCTAGTACACATATTACATTCCGATGTTCGCCATCTTGGTTCGCATACTTCGGCAGCCCCGTCAAGTTGAGACAGATTTCAACAGATTATCGAATTAAGTTCGAATCTCACCAAATATCTTGAAAAATACATGGTCTCAATGACAAGTAATCGAGTTCAAGTCATTTCGATTTGAATTTTTGAAAAAGGTGAGCTCAATTGATTTGGGTGAATACTGATTTTTCTAATTTTACGAGGCGAGATTATCGAGATGGCTTTTTTGTCAAAACTAACATTTTTGTAGTCACTATTTGGTCAAGTTTTAATGATAGAGTTATCCTGGTGCTGTTTATGAGTATGAGCTGTCGAAATAAATTAAAAAATCTCAATTTTATGATGTAACCAGGCCTGCAGAGTACAGGAATGCTTACACCAGACTCTGGGCAATTTTAAAACTGGCTGTGAATCAAGCATAACCAAGTTGATTCCCAACTTTAATTACTGCAAATAAATATCAGAAATGAACGATCAATTTCAATTTTTGACTTCAGCCCTGACAAGTTTAAAAATATAGCATGTCCATAAAATCTTGAAAAAGGGAATTTATCGATATCATATATTGTTTTGGCCCTCGCAGATGAACCAAATAAAATAAAAATATCTAAGCAATTACTGATTAAAAAACAACAAACCTAGTTATGATATATTGAGCACTGACTTCATAACAAAATGGAAATTGTAAAGGGAATTTATGGACACCCTGTACTACTTCGGCTCTAATGTCAGCATCAATAAATAAAAGTTAATTTCCGATTTCACAGCCCTACAAGTGATGTAAGACAATCAAAATAGTTTTAAAATAAATGTACAATAAAAATTCAACATTTAAAGTTCAGAGGAATTAAAAACATAATAATAATCATGGAAGTTCAATCTTTTCACTGCAATCTCTTAAAAAAAAAAATCTCAATCTTATTTGATTATTAAATATCTGGAAATAATAAAATAATCTTTTTCAATTATATACCCTTCCTTGGTTAACATAAAATTACAATAAAAATTAAATAAAAAACTGATTTCTAAACATTTTTCATACATGACGCTTTTTATATGCTTTTCAGTTCAAAGAAGGCCATGTAGAGCAGTCACTGGTATCTATGAATCTACTTCAATTTGGAAGGACTGGAACTATCTCAGTTCAGCGTTGCCAATTTATTATTCATCATCTCAGTGAAAGTGGTTCAAACAGAATTCATATTGTTTACAGCAGTGGTCGGCTAACTTACCGGGCCAAATATGCAGATCGGCTAACATACTGGGCCAAATATGCAGGTCGGCTAACTTACTGGGCCAAATATGCAGGTCGGCTAACATACTGGGCCAAATATGCAAATTGGTGTAATGTGTGGGCCGCAGTAATTTCCACCTATAAGCAATTGCCGAATTAAATTTCAAATTATGATGCACTGGCAACTTCTATCTCTGTGCTAACATAACTAAAGTAAGCACGTTCGGTAAGTATAAGCACGTCGCTCGAGCCAATTACTAAAAACAAACGCTGTAAAACAGCCATTGTCAGGATTAGGACAAACTACTGTGCGCAGATAATATTGAATTTTCGATAAATTTGGGTTTTTGTGCATTAAAGGGAGGTTCATTAGAGGGCCCAAAAAAAATTGGGGGTCGTAGTTTGCCGACCACTGCCTTTGAATTATATTATTTTTGAATTTTTCATGGAAAAGAGGCAGAAATAAGGAAGATCAGTTACAAAAAGTGCAATTAAAAGGCAGTACAATCCTGTTAAAGCCCCAACAATAACTTTCTGACCCGTTTTCTTTATCTAGGTTAGGTCATTGTCCTCTCCCATACAATTTAAATCATCTACACCTAACTTAAAATAAACGTAATCAAGGAAACTAGTGTTGTTTGTTTGTTTTTCTTTATCTTAGGTTAGGATAAGTTAGAAGGCAAACTTAACTTATCCTGCCCTTTGGGTTCACAAACGAGAATAAATTTGACCTTCTCTGGGGGTAATTCTTGGTGATTAATTAATGTTTATTATGCTCTCACTATAAATTGGGCTAGGCGCTGTGCCGCATTGTGCTAAGTGTTAGTAATGCGCTCACCACGGCACCTCTGATTACTCTTGAGTGGGTTCGAATCCCATGCAGAGATAATCGTGTGTGAGAGGATTACTGATATCTTCGCAGCACTAAGGTGATTCACATAACCGCTGGTCGGTTGCGACTTTGTCCACCATCAAGTCTATGCAACTGAAAACAAATAAAACTTGCTAACTATTCCATACCCGACATGGACTGGTAACCAGACGAGACGCCGTGGTTCGCCATATGGTTGAGCCGTCTATCAACTTTGCTCTCCTCCGAAATAAATATGTAAATCCTATCCTAGAATCATTAGAATGAAACAAAACATATTGGAAAATTAGTGGTAGGGTGATAACAGGATTGTACAATAAAGAAAACCCTGTTACAGCAGGTCTAGGGTAATATAACTCGTGTGTACATGTTAGTCTTGCATAGCATGTTAAAATAAATATACATATTTACCATAAATGGTAGCATAATTTCAAGTTCATGTATATATAAATCACCCTTTCAGTGCTGCTAATTCTGTTATTTCTTCTTCAAAATCATCCTCACTGTCCAGGCTTTCCAGTTTCATGAATTCAGCGTTCCTTTCCTCTGTTCCGCAACATTTCTGCTTGATTAAATACGAGAAATACCATAACATGGCTAACGTCGTATGACCCAATGTCACCATAATGATTAGGATAGAAGATAAGTCCGCTTCTGGTTGAGGATAAGACAATTCGATCACGGCGATCCCAAGGACTGTATTCTTCATTCCACTTTCGAGAGAAATGGCTTTCGCGAACGGCCAACTTTGTCCGAAACCGCGAGAAACTGCAATTGATAGGATGAATCCACTCGATGGCAGTAGAACTGCTAAAGCCCATCCAATATGAGGGCCATGGATGATGTATTTTGAAGACACTGCGAGGAATAAAAATCCGCAGAAGATAAGAAACAAACTTAACGGTTGAATGATTTTGATTAATTTTTTCGCAAATTGTGGCTTTTTTCTATTGATCAGCATTCCGAGGGATATTGGAACCGCGATGGCGCATAAAATGAGAACCATTTTGATGTACGGTATTTCAATACTGTCAGGAATGTGTGTTGCGTATGCATACAACCCAATAACAGCGGGCATCGCCCCCATTGCAACAATCGTAGACAGCAAGCTTGCGGAAATCGCAAGCGTTACATCCCCTCCGACAAGATAACTGATTACATATCCACCCCCTCCTCCAGGGCATGTAGCACCAACAAAAAGTGCTAGCGCCATCGCCTGGTTGAGTTGAAATATCGTAGAGTAGAACACGGCAAGTAAAGGCATTGCTATAAACTGCATGAATAAGCAAAGTACAAGAGCCGCAGGGTAAGTGAAAATGTGTTTCAGAGTGTCAACTTCAATCTTTGCACCGAAGGCACATTTGTTGAGTAAAATTAGCGGTCCGAGAATAAAGAACGTCAGTTTATCGAATAAAGTAAGTTTTCGCTTGACACGAATCTCTATGTGTGCTAACTCCGTCTTTGAATTGTCGATTGTGATTTCAACAGTCATTTTCGTAATACCGAGATGTCCTGCTGTAACTTCAACCATTTCACGACTTTCATTCAAGCAATCCAAGATCATCACCTTTGAACTTTTATGTGACCTCATCAGAGCAACATCAGTGTCGTTTATGACGACTCTCACTTTTATTTTCCTCGGCTTTGATACAAAATTCGTCCCATTTTTACCAATTTGTATTAATTTGAGCGACGAGTTACAAGTCACGGTATAATTGAACTTTACATCTTCAAACGTCTCGATTTTATCCAGTGTATCAGCAATTAAAATATCTTCCGTATCTCCGAAAGCGTTAATAAATCCACTTTCAAATGACAGTACTTGATTTAGGGTTGCCAGGAATATTATAAATGTTACTTGTCGTTTCATATTTGCATAATTAGTTAAATTAGATAATCTCTGTAAAAGGAATTCAAGTTTAGTTTCAGTGATCCTTCTATTGACTGAATGGATAACGGTGTGGAAGCAACTAGGTAAGCTGAAAAAAAATAAGTGAATAACAAATTGAAAAACGAGAATATCGGTCGGAGACCGAAAACTTATCGATTGAAACTCCGGTTTCAATTCATGACTCTATAGTGACACCGCGTGTCCCATCGCTAATTAATTAATACCTCGCTAATTATACGACATAATTCATCCAAAATCAATAGGCTTCTGGTCCGAGATATGATGAAGAATGGGCATGCAAAATTTGGAGCAGATTCAACCTTGCTTTCGTGAGATATCGCGTGCATCTAACAGACAGATACCTATCAACATACTACTGTACTTACCGATCAAGATCGATAAGTAATAATAAGTAAATTTAGTATGCAATGTATGGACCTGGTCCCTAGAATAGGATAGAATTTTCATATTTATTCTGCGAGTGAAAAGAAAATGAGACGATAATATGGAAAACCACAGACCCTCATCCAGTTACCAGGCCATGTCATGTACAAAAATAACAAGTGACTTCAGGAACTGATTTCTAATACATAGATTTGATGGTGGAGAAGGTAGTGAACCCACCATTGTGTTATGTTCCTGATGCTAAATGAAAACGCTGAGCTCATACCGTGTCAAAGCTACAATGAATATTGTCCATGCTTCTAGGACATGTATGTATGTATGTTTATTTGCCTCAAAAATGTAACAGTCGGGTGGTGTAGCCAGTCTGCAGACGTTTTCATTCAAACCACTATAAAACAAAAACCAATATTTCTAACCGTTAATTTTTTACCGTAGGTGCATTGGCATTTATGCTACACGCTAAACCTCGAATTACCTTTCTACGACCAGGGGTTGAAGCTATACAAACCACCAAAGGACGACACTCTGAAGACGTATTTGCGACCGAACGACCAGTGTGCAACCACGGATTTCAATCCTTGAACAAGCCGTTTTTTTTTCTTTAGTCTGGTTTTCGATCGTAACTTTTTTGTTTGTGGCCGCATTTTAGTGTAATTTCGCAAAGCTATGAGGGACAAGTGGACGATAACGCGTGAAAAATATTGTCGCGATTCGTTAATTTTTTCGGCATTAATTAGATCGATGAAGTTGATGGCCGCAAATAAGTCGTGGCCGCAAAGTAAGCCACCCTATCTGCATAATAATTAAACAGAGAAGGGATACCTGACTGGACCTTAACAATTATAACAGCAATTTAGGACTGCAGCGTTATAAAAAGACAACAGATAAGATATGGGCTATACAAATAAAACTCTAGTATACACAAGACAAAGAGATGCAAAACAACGACGATATGTACAATATAGTCAGTTAGTTCACGGCACGTCCATGTCCCAGTGTGAGAGGATGAAGATTGGGTATGGGTCGCTAGAATGATATGTTTTTACAATGAATCTCACGAAATACGTAAAGATTTGTTTGAGACATAAACTTGCCGGAAACATATAACTGGTTAACTAATTCCATACCCGACATGAACTGGTAACCAGGCGAGAGGCATGCCATATGATTAAACCATCTTATCGGCTCTCCTCTTCCTCGGGTTAAATCCTATTAACAGAAAAATTCCAGGAAAAATAAATAAATCTACTGTCTGACTGTTCTGGGTTTCCTCTACAATAGGTCAGGATTACCAAAAAGCACAGACTGACAAGTACTCAATCCAATAACAATTATGATAAAGTTTACATTCAGAGATCTTATTTTAGGTCAAGTCAGCAAGTGGAAAATGGGAGAAACCTGTATTGTTGTAAGCTCATGCTCAGTTCTAGTCAACTTCTTAATTAGGTACGGTGGTACCGGTGGGCCTATATTCAGATACCGTAACGGTACGGTACCGGTACCGTATTCCTTCATTCTCCGAATCTCCACTTTCTGACTTACCGGTACCGTAACTAATCCCATGTAACCGGTACCGTGCGGTACTGCAGCAAAGATATTGTGAACAGACAAACAAATACAGGATACCTTGTCAACATTTAAACAACTAATTAAAAAATCAAAACGGCCTAAAACATTCAAACCTCATCCCGAACATGAACAGATTCACGAAATGCTGAAATATGACGACCTAAAAACAGAAGTAAGCGATAGACATATGGCGATGACGCGATCCCGTTCAATGTTCATGTAATCGAATATAGCAGATGCGTATAGTATCCGATTGTATTTATTGGGGCTTTTCAAATGAAGTATAGGATTTATAATTCTAAAAAAATATGGAAATATCTTATAAGTATATCAAAATAAATGTATACTTAAATTTTATAGATTTCAACAAAATTAGTTATAATATATCGCTCCAGTTGGGAACACACCTTCTGCAAAGAATGTGTCTATGGCGCTACCTTGCGGGACATATGTTTAATTTACAAATTGGCTCAAATATATGGACACGTAACACTCAGTGGCAAATTTGGATGACGTCATAGCACACAAAATATTTATTGTATTTAAATATAATATATATTTATTATTTAAAAAATAATATTTAACCGAAGAAATTCTGATTCGTTCCTACCTTTCATGAGTAAATATGTTAGTCAGCATTCCTTGTCTTTTACTGGGGCTCAAACTTCGGAATTCTCTTCCCTTGAATTTGAAGACGTTGAAATCCCCAAAATCTTCCTAAAATAAATTAAGTCTTATTTAGTGACCAAATATTTAAAATTACTGTTTTGAAACCACACTGATACTTTTGTATGAAATTATCCACAGTGGTTGGGACACGCCTCACTTGCACATTGTTATTTTCATGGAAATTTTGTTATTGGTATTCAACAGAATTTTATTTTGATCTTTCGTCTACGACATACGGTAACAACAAAAAGAAAAATACCAACATGAACCACATCATCTTGTGGAAATTGAGGACAAATTTACAAACAGAAGCCAAAAAATTTTATTCGCAGGTGAAGTAAGTTGCAAAAAAAACCCAAGAGTTCATTTAGCTGTGACACCTATGACGTATTGCTACTATTGAAAGATGAAAATTATAGCAATAATTAGTTTTAAATCAATCAAGAGAGCGATGCTCAAATAAATGGGCACGGAGTTCAAAACGACGTAATGGTATGTAATTTGACACAACAGACACATGTTTGATACTGATCATTTGAATATAATACATATTACTGTTATTCTAGTTCTAGTAGAACGACAATATGTACAGCCACCATAATAGTTAGAATAAATTGATTGTTCAACTGAAATTTATTTTAATTAATTTTAATTATGTGCGAAAGGATTGCTGGACTCTTTATTTGTAGACCGATAAAACTTATCGGCCAATGTTTCAAGCTAATCTGGTTTGGTGCGGATGATTTGTAGGTTTAGCGGGGTCAATCACGATTCCGGAAGTTATCCCGCCGTCCAGGTCGGTAGACCTAAATTTCCTGATTATGCAATACGACAGTCATTAATATCTTTTTATTTGATAATACAAGTTTTTTAACGGAGGCAGCCGATCTACCACTGATTTGCAACTCACTTCACCAGTTCAGACAGAGAGAGAAGTATGTCATAGTTATCATATGAAGTATAAACCATACGTTAATTTAACACCCAACTGTGTTGTGTTAAATCATCAAAATGCCGAAAACAAAGTGCAAGTTTTCTATTGAGTTGAATATCCGTTATTGAAGCAAAGGCCAATAGAGGATATTTCAATAAGATTTACAGCTAGTTTTGATGCCCGTAATCTACCCACAGTGGTATGATAAATGTTAAACCATTATTAAGCCACGGAATCGAATTAAGGTTGATTTGACCAATCTGCACTGACCCGGTTTTCTGCTCCAGATATATTGCCCACTGTTAGGGATTGGGATAGGATGAAAACAGGGGAACAGATCCGGCCCAACGAAGTGTTTCAGCCGACCCACTTGCGTCTGATGAAAGTAAAACTATAGTTTTTATTGATATAAATTTCCGTTGAAAATATCAATAAAAACAAAGTCATAATGACCTCGAATGTTACTTCTTTTTATTATAGAAACTTTAGCCTATCTGTTAAACTAGCTATTGTAGGTAAAGTGTTTTTTATTCAAAAAATTCATTTTGAGTTTTGATTCTCCGACCCAGCAACCAAGTCCATTATCTGTAACCGTCCCACTCAGAGAAGAAATTGCCCACTTCTGCGTTAGAAAGTTGTAAAGACTGGGATTAGATTAGATCTATTGTAAGATCTGTAATACTTTTACTCGGACAAATGACCTGAATCTTCACTTGTTGAACTTTACTACAATGGAAATTGGTTCTCCTGAAGTATGCGCACCAAAATGTCGCATAACCCGAACCCTAACCTGGTACACAACCTGAGTTCAGGTTGTGCGCCATTTTGGTGCTCATACTTCAGGAGGTCCGGAAATTTTCTATTTGTAAACATGATATCGTGAACGCGACTATGAGTCCTCACATAAGTTTTGGGAAGAAGGGCAATGTCATTTGGAGCGTAGGTCATCAAAGTGCGCATCAGGGCTCCCTGGACGAAACCTAGTATATCCGCGAGATATTTATTGAAATACTGACATGGCTAATTTTGTAACTGTTCAAAGAAACATTAACGGCGGTTATAAGATTTGACAACGGTTGCGATGTGGTCGGTCGCAACGGTCGAGATGTGGCAACAAGCTTGTAATTCAAATGTAAGCGGTTATTCAAATGTGACGTTATCTATATTTTTTAATACATCATTTTTATTTTAAAATTTTGTGGGGCTAAATTATTGTCCAGCTCTTCACGGGCTTCATAACGCCCTGCCTGTACATCTCAACTAATGACGTATCCACCATTGCCTACACGCCATTTTTTCGCTTTTTTATCTCGCTCAGTAATATCAAACACAGTTGTTTTAACCGGAGTTCTGCAGAACATTAGAATACCGCAAATAAGGGCAAACTACAGCCCGCGGGCCAGGTCCTGTCCGTTGGATAATTTAATC